CCTAGGCTGTTAAGCTTAACCTCACTATCTGTCTGAATATCAAACATCTTAGGCATAACATGGAACAGGTATTTTTCCTCAAGTATTGGTATGTTGAACTTTAAGTCCTTACAGAATATGATGAAAAATATTAAAAAAATTAAAATATATTTTGAAAATAGGCATAAAGAATTTTATAATTCTTATGTTTACACATAAGTCCAGAAATCTAACCATGTACAACTTTGAAGCAGGACAGTCCCACAAAATTCCTTTTCCTATCTCCTGCCTTCATTTACCACCCTCTTCTTTTTGAATAATCATCTACCCGAGAGACAGCACAGCAGCAACTGGCATATCATGACAAGCAGCCTGTATTCAGAAGACCAGAATGACAGGCACTCCAAGCATGAACCTACTATTATAAATTGCCATCTTCAGTGCAGTTGGAGAAAGCATATAATATTTAAACTTGCGTCTGATTTATCTCACTCAATGTTATGGCCTCAAGGTTAATACATTTTCTTACAAGTTATCTAGGTTTCTTCTCCTTCTCTTCCTCCTTCTCCTCCCCATCTCTCCTCCTCTCCCCTCCTGCTCTTCCTCCTCCTTCCGTTCCCCTCTCCTCCTCATTTGGTACAGGGTCTTGCTATGCAGCTTACACTCATAGCGATCGTCCTGTTTCAGCCTCCCTAGCGCTGGGATGACAGGCGTGCACTCCCTTGCCTAGTCTTGGTGGCCGGCTCTCTGCCCCTGGGGTGTGGCCGGCATGGTATGTGGTACCAGGGATTGAACCCAGGTCCTTGTGCTTGCGTAGCCAGGCACTTAAACCACTGTGCTATCTCTGCGGCCCAAGTTTATTTTTCTTTATGGCAGAGTATTACTCTTATTTGTCTTTTTTGTTTTTTTCCCCCAGTACCAGGAATTGAACTCAGGACCTTGTGCTTGCCGAGCTATCTCCCCGGCTCTCTTATTTGTGTATAAATGCCACACTTTAAAATCCAGTCATCTGTTCATGGACATATAGGCTAATACATTTTTTTTTTTTTTGAAGAAGAAGGTATTTTGAATACTGTAGAATTGAAATATTGAGTGTGCCCAGAAGGGATTTTGAAATAAGACTCTGCTTAAAATTAAGATGTTTAGAAATCTGCATCCTTGGTAGAATCCATCATTATCACCAAGAGATAACAAAAGCCCCTCTGAGTAATCCAGGTCTTTGTGAAATTCTGCAAATTGAGAGCCGAAAATCATACTACCTATATTATCTAGGAACCACAATAGTAGAAAAAAATGTTGCCAAGCAAGTTTTATTTTTGGCTGAAATCAATATCAGAAATGCATCAAAGGAATACTTGCAAACTCCAGATCCCATGATTTCTGCACATAATGTCTACTGAAAATATAATTACATTCTGTAATTATAATAATACATGGTAAAATAAAACCCACTGTGAATTAGAATTGATGGACATAGGTAGAGAGATTAATTCTGCATTTGTCTTTTTGAGATAGCGTCTTGCTATGCACTTCAGGTTGGCTTTGAATTTGTAGCCCAGGCTAGCCTTAAATTTGAAGTGATCCCTCTACCTCAGGCTCCTGAGTGCTGGAATTATAGGCATGCACCACCATGCCCAGCTTTCAAGAAATTTATATAATGCAGTATTTGAAATGCTATGAAATACATCTGTTTTTTTTAGTTTTTTCCTTTCTGTGCTACAGATTCAGCCCAGGGCCCAATCATGCTTGGAAAGAAGTGCTCTGTTACTGAGCTTTGTCACCAGCTGGAAATGACTTTTTTTTTTAAAGATAGGATTTCTTTATACATTTCATGCTGGCCTTGAACTCACTTTGTAGCCCAGGCTGGGCTTGAACTTGCAGCAGTTCTTCTGCTTCAGCTTCCTCTAAGTGCTAGGATTACAGGCCACCATGCCCAGCCCTGAAATAAGTCGTCTTAAAAAATTAAAGTCAAAAAATTAAAATTATAATAGAAATTAAAACCATAAGAAAAGACTATGAACATGATGAAAAAATCAAATAGCTTTGTTAGAAATGAAAAATTATAAGCAGGGCATGATGGTGCACATTTGTAATCCCAGCACTCTGGGAGGAAGCAGGCTCTCACGTTTGAGCCCAGCCTGGGCAATTTAATGACCCTATTTCAAAATAAAAAAAGAGTTGGGGTTGTAACTCAGTGTGAAATATTCTTGATGGAAATTTTTAGCTTCATTTTATAATGAGAAAACATCAGACAAACCCAGATGGAGGAATAAACTAGAAAATACCTGATGACAAATACTCATCAGAAGTATCAAGAGAAAGGAGAGATGTTGTGACAGATTGGAGAAGACTAGTGGAGATTGAATGCAAGCGTGTCCTGCATTAGTGTACTGCAGTAGAGCAAAGAAAAACTTGAGAAACTGGAATAAAGCCTGTACTTTTGTTAACAGTGTGCACCACTGTTAATATTTTAGCTACTTAGTTGATAATTATATCATTTCCTTGTAAAATGTTAAGGGAACCTGGTGAGGGCATATGGGAACTGTGTGCTATTTGGAATACTCTTCTATAATTTTGAAGTTGCTTCAAAATAAGTATGTGGAAAAACAACCTGGGAAATATAGGATATTTAATTCAGTTTATAAACCCAAAGTAAACTTTGTTTAGCTAAAAGTGTGTGTTCATATATGTATATGCATATGAGTGCACATGGAGTATTTCTTGTCTGACATGCTTAGGGCCAGAAGTGTTTTGAATTTCAGATACTTGGATATTAAAATTTATCATGTATATAGTGAGATATTTTAGGGGTACAACCAAACTTTAGATGCAACAGCAAGCAGAAACACTGAAATAACACCCAGGATTTAAAGCCAGATTTATTTATGTTGGATGGGCGCCGATCAAGATCATTCCCAGAATATCAGGCTCTGATCTCTGGTGGTCTAGGGCTTACGTGGGATAGGCAACCAGGAAGCACAGAGGCAGAATGACATGTTATGCATTGTGCATCATAGTGACCAGCTATGCATCAGTGACCAGCCGTTTTTAAGAAACAGAAACAACTGGAACAGGAACCTGGGCAACTAAGAAACTGAAGTGTACTGGCTGTGGAGCATTTTCTGCTATATAAACTTCACTTACATTTCATGTATACTGAAGATCATTTTATACTGTGTTGTGAATAATTTTATATGTGAAACAAAGTTAAATGGCATGAAATTTTCTCCACTAAGTGACTTTATCTTGGTACTCAAAAAGTTTTGCATTTAGGAGTATTTTGAATTGTGGGCTTTTTTGTTAGGAATGCTCAACTTGGTTATGTGTAAACACATAATATATACATATACATGTACACATATATCAGTTTATCAGGAAAGACTAGAGAGAATATAAGAAAAGCAAAATTTAAAAAAGTACTAGCTGAATATTTTTCAGTATTGAAGAAACGTATCTTCAAAGAACCATTTCCTCCAAATTCGAACAAGATTATGAAGCTTTGTATGTGCAATCTCAAGAAACAGGTCACTTATTGCAAGATAGCAGCCCAATCACACTTCTTTTATAGCTACAGTTAAACTAGTATACAGTTGGCTAATACCAAGAGAAAATAACTGCTGAACCATAAATCTCCATTTAGTCAAACTGTTATTTGAGAGTGAGCAAGATACTTTTTACCCAAAACTCTAGTTTTCCAATCTTGTCACATCGCTTAACTTTTATAACAGTCATATTTTTAAAAAGAAAGAAATGAACCAAGGAGAAAGAAGTAGTGAAAATGCTATATAGGGCAAATTGTTGAAATGTACTGAAGTCATGACTGAGTGACAAAATAAGCATAACAGTGTTTAATTTCAGTTTGTATAGCACTTTCACTAGTTTTGAAGCTTGAATGCACTTTGGAACTAGCTAGAGGAGTTTTAAAACTACCTGTGTTTTGATCTCAAATATTCTGCTCTGATCGATGGTTTAAAAATACCTCCCAAATATTCTAATGCATTGTTAGTGTTTGAGAACCACAGTTCAGCCTGGGATATACCTCAGTGGTGGAACACTTGCTTAGCATGTTTGAGGCCCTGGCACCACAAAAATAAAAGTGCTGCTCAGGAGATTTGGGTATGTAATAACTTTGGGGTGATTGTGATTTGTGCAGAATTACATGATCAGTTTATGATAAGAGTGGGCATGGACTTTTAAGTGTCAAATTCTGCATACTGAATGATACTTTGTTAAAATCTTAATAAGAATGATGAATTTGCACAACTATGCAAAATTGTACATATTTGAATTAAAAACTGAGTTGTGGTTAAACCTGTGCAATCTACTTCACTTTTAGAATACCCTGTATTTAAAGGAAATTGTGAAATCCAATATTAAGAATCTTAGTTCCTTTAAGTTGAAACCTGTCAGCCAGCCACACAGCAAGCGTTGGAGGCCTTGATTAGGTCTGTTTCACCTTTGTGAGTGTAAATATATTTTTTATGCTTTGGTAAAAATACTGCATAAGTACTGTACTAATGAATTTGCCAAAGAATCTATAATAATTATTAGGATCGTCTTTGATTTTTTTATTCTACTTAATGTCTTATATAAGAATTATCCTTTTTCTTTTTTTTTTTTTGTCAAGATAAGTGGAGTATATCGAATTTTTAAAAGTAAATAAATAAATTTATTTGGTACAGGGTCTCGCTGTGTAGATCAGACTTGTAGTGATACTCCTGTCTCAGCCTCCCCAGCACTGGGATCACAGGCGTGCGCCACCATGCCCAGTTTCAGAGGCCAGCACGGTGTGTCCAGGGTTCTGGAGCCAGTACAGCATGCAGTACCAAGGATCAAACCTGGGTCCTTGTGCTTGCCAGGCAGACGCTTAGACCGCCGAGCTATCTCCCCAGCCTAGAGCATAATGAATTTTTATTTAGCTTCTCAAGAAATCATTTTCTTACTTTTGAAGATGGAAACTCATATTGCACTTGAATTAATTGTAAAAACTGTCTTTTCTGGTTTTAGACCAACAGCAGCAGAACTGTTAAGGCACAAATTTTTCCAGAAAGCAAAGGTAGGAAATTTTAGCATCAAAACATATAAATATATTATGTTCACTGCTCATAGGTTACATTTCTAGGTGATTATGTTTGAAAGAATGATGGTAGATAAAATAATTGTTGAGGGCACTTTGTATATGCAATCTTTGGTAGTATATCTTTGTATAAATTACAGGTCAGGTTAAACTTACAGCATTAATGAATATTAATTTTGTTATTGTTTTCTCACTTCAAGATTTACTAACAAATTAACAAATATCTCTTTTCCCAAAGGTAGTGGGTGTTAGTTGGAAATGTGGGATTAACAAAGCACATACAGTGAATCAGACTTATCATGGACAGTGGCTCATGCAGCACACTGAAGCTCTGCCTCAGTCTTTAAAACCATGGCAGTGCTGTACCAAAGAAGCTTGAGAGTGAAAGGATGGGATTTTTCATCAAACTGCATAAATCAGTTATATATTGCATGTTAATCATGGTAAACTTTTCTCTGTCAGTATTTTGAGTTGATAAAAACTTCTTGAGAGAAGAAATGCTTATTTTTTCCCCTCCAGAATAAAGAATTTCTTCAAGAAAAAATATTGCAGAAAGCACCTACCATTTCTGAAAGAGCTAAAAAGGTAAATGGGAATTTAACTTAGTTTTCTTAGAAAACTGCTTAGGTAGAATTTATTTTTCTGTTAACAGAAATGTATATTACTTATTTTCTTTCAATCTCTTCTAAAACATTATTTGGTACATTCATTCAGGAAATATTGTGGGTCTGTAGTATGCCTGGATATTAGTCTGTTGTCTAACAATGAAAGGGGATGCTAGACAGTATTGGTAAGGTAATTTAACCCCTACTTCTAACTGTTAGAGTGAGTTATATTTTACATGGCATGCATAGCACTGAATATAAGTCATAGAATCCTTGTTTTAGTTCCAAACTTTCAGAAAGACTAAACAATTTTTGTTTGTTTTTGTTTTGTGGTACCGGGGATCAAACTCTGGACCTTGCACTTTCCAGGCAGGCATTTATGCTGTTGAGCTATCTCCCCGGCACAATTTTTGTTATGAGTATATAATTTCTTGTTATGAGTCTATAATTTTTGTTTTTGCATTAAAATTTTTATTGGTACATTTTGTGTCACATGTTACTGTGTAAAAGTATAAATAAAGGACCATTTTGGTGTGAAAAAAAACCATGTATACATAAGATAGGGTAGATATACAGCTACTTTCTCTTAGTTCATTGAGAAGAAAGGGTTGTACCAATTTTTTTTTTTTTTTTCCGGAACCAGGGATTGAACTCAGGCCACACTTATTCTACTGAGCTATCTCCCCGGCCCCTGAACCAATACTGTTTAGACAAAATATGTCTACATCTTACCCTCTTGGGGGCTTGCCCCTTAGCTCAGTTCTTTAAGTGGCTGCTTCAACAAAGCAGTCAAGCTCAGGTTGCTGTGATTCGATCCCCACAACTCAAGCCAGCCAAGCCTGCCCTGAAGGCATTTGGAGAAAAAAAAAAAAATCCTTATTCCATCTTACCCTCTGAATAGCTATTATGAAGACAACGTGCAATGTATTAATATAAATGTCCTACTAACCTTTTTTGAAACTGTTTCATTGCTTTTTTATCTTTTTTTTCTCATTAAAATGAATAAAAGAAACTTAGGTATATATAATGATCACATTTATCATAGGGAATGTATACCTGTGCATGATATATATATATCGTGATCCTTTTCTTTTTCCCATTTCCTTCTTCCTGCAATGCTTCTTAGCCTCATTTACAAAAGCTCTGTTCCCATTTTTTCCTTCTATTTTTTTTCTTGTCCATTCTTCCTCCTCACTCCTTTGTCTTCCCTCTCATTTCAACATTTTCTTCTCATTTCCCAGTATCTATTATACATTTTGGTCCTCATTTTACTTTCAGTTTTTCATGCCAGAGAAACAGTGCAGTATTTAAACATGTATGTCCAATTTATTTCATTTAAAGAGTATAGTCTCAATTTAGAAAGAAATGTCTCAAGCTTATCCTTCTTTAATGTATAATTTTTAATGTCTCAAGCTTATCCTTCTTTAATGTATAATTTTTAAAATCTCTATGCTCATAATATAAGCCTAGGAAATTCATTAAGTTCTCAGGATAAAATATATGAGTTTTCCCTTCCAGTAGGTAGAGAATCCTTTTCTTCTCAAGGCATTCTTATTCAGTGTGAAGGAAATATGAGGCATCAGTGATACATTGAATGAGAAGGTAAAACTCCTCTACTTACTTTAATTTGGACAGTGGTCCTATTAGTCAGGAAGTCAGAATAATTCCAGTAGTGGCTTATTCTCTTCGATATACCCAGAAAGTTTTGCTTAATAAAAAGTATATTAAATACTTTGAGATTATATTTTTACTAAATATAAATAGCACAATTAGTTTCTCTCAACTCTAGAGGTATATCTTTCTACAAATGTGATCCCCCAAGTATAGTTATTAGGGAACATTGTTTTTTTCCTAAGTAGTTCTTTTGAAACACCAACAACCTACTATTTTCTTATATTCAAGTTATGCCACCAATTAGAAGTTTTCCTCTGAACTAAGAACCTTTTCATTTGCTATATTTTTTTCCTGGGATATTCTTCTCTCTTATCAGTGATTATCATTCATGATTATAGATCAGAGCCACCAGGGGACCGGAAAAAACAAATAGAAAAAAAGCACAAGTAGAGTCATTCCAGACCCTTTGAAATTAAATCCCTGGGGTATGGCGCTTGAAAGCTTATTGTCATGGGTAGCCACTTGCTTAAACACTCACTGGGCTCACTCTTCCACTTCATGTCAGCTCTCCTCCAAATAAACCGAGAGGTTTATTGGAACACAACTACATCAGAAGTCTAGGATTATCCATAGTAACATGTGACAACATGTCACCTTCTACTGGGCCAAAAAGGCACTTACAAAAAAAGTGCAAATTACAGGATTCCACCTATGTGAAATGTTCAGAATAGGCAAATGTATAGATGTGAAGAATAATAGTGGTTTGTCTAGGGCTGGGGGATTAGAGAAAAATGGACAGTGACTGTTAATAGGTGTGGTGTGTTTTGAGGACAGTGATGACTGTTCTAAATTTGATTATAGAAATGATTGCAAAACAATACAAAAATCATTGCATTATATTCTTTCAGTGAGTTGATTTTTATGATATATGAAATCTCAACACTTTTTTTGACAATGTTTGTTTAAAGTTGTCTTCAAATTAGTTGTTCAGATTAACACTTATTTCTCAAATGAACATTCCAGAAATTTTACTGCCATCAACAAAATGCTCATAGAGCTGGGTGTTGTGGTGTACGTCTATAATCCCAGCATTTGGGAGGCTGAAGCAGGAGGCCAAGTTCGAGGCCAACCTGCACTACAAAGTGAGTTCGGGCCAAGCCTGAATTACATAGCAAGACCCTGTCACAAACAAATGAACCAAACAAACAACTCATAGAAATTAAAAACATAGAAAAGTGAGAAAAAATTTATACAAAGTTGTGGGATAAAGTCAAGGAAACTTCCCTCAAAGTAGAGCTTAAAGGCCCAGGAGTTGATAAAGGAAGAGAAAGTGTGAAAATGGTGGAGGATCATTTGAGAGAGTTCAATTGAACGAAGAGAGTTCCAAAAAGATAGAATGGAGAGAAACAGAAAAAGGGTATCATTGAAGAGATAATTTGAGAAAGATTTCCACAGCTCATAGTCCTGTTTCCAGATTTTTTTTTTTTTTTTTTTTTTTCTTGGCGGAACCAGGGATTGAACTCAGGCCCTTATGCTTGCTAGGGAAGCACTTATCCACTGAGCCATCTCCCCGGTCCCCCATATTTCTAGATTGAAAGAGTACCTGAGTACTTGAGGTACTGGCACAGTGGATCAAAATAGATTATCTTGTCCATTACTGTGATAAATCAGAATGCTGAAGGAAAGAGAAGATCCTGTAGTCTTCCAGAGGGGAAGAAATGTCATAAACAAGATAAGGGGCCAGTGATACATGTGGTGCTGGGGATTGTACCTGGGTCCCTGTGCTTGCCTAAAGCAGGTGCTTAGTCTGCTGAGCTATCTCACCAACCCTCTTTAGATTCACATTATAGAACATTGTGACTGAACATGTAGTGAAGATTGTGAATAGAGAGCCAGTGAGAGATGGGTTTACCTAGGAGGATAATAGTTACCCAGTTAATTGGTTGAAATGGTAAAAGTATAGAGAGAAATATGATGTAGTTTCCTGCTTAGTAAATGTAGACCATCATAACCTGTGTCTCTCCTAATGAGCAGGTGCGGAGAGTACCAGGGTCCAGTGGCCGTCTTCATAAGACAGAAGATGGAGGCTGGGAGTGGAGTGATGATGAATTTGATGAAGAAAGTGAGGAAGGAAAAGCTGCAATTTCACAACTCAGGGTAGGTTTTGTTCGTCTGTATTCTTTTTTTTTTTTTTTTTTTGGCAGAACCAGGGATCAAACTCAGGCCCTTGTGCTTGCTAGGGAAGCACTTATCCTACTAAGCCATCTCCCTGGTCCCTCGTCTGTATTCTTGAGCTAGAATTTTCTGTGAATCATTTATTTTTTAACAAGCTAAAATATAAAGAATGAAAGTATTACTGATAGAATTTCTTTGAACAGCTTGTTGGTAGGAGCCTAGGTAATTTACATGGAAAATAGGATTGGCATAGCTGTTCGAATATGATAATGTTTAGAGTACATAAGTGTAGAGATGAAAACTACATCCTAGATTAAAATACACTAGATAGGATTAATGATCAAATGCACATTGCCCAACAAAAGTGTTGAAATTGAAGGCCTTCTGAAAAAAAACTTTGTTCCTGAAGCAGATTGATTATCTTTGTACTTAAAGAGGAGCAGTGCACCAGCCTCTTCTTTAGTTGGTATATCCTTTGTGTGTGTGTGTGTGTGTGTGTGTGTGTATGTGTGTGTGCGCGCACGTGTACACATGGATGTATGTTTTGAATCTGCTGGTGATGATTTCATGTTTTTGTGACTGGAAAGATCCCTCATTCACTTTTGTTTTGAAGAAATATATTTGTAGTTTGTAGATTGCAGATTGACAGCTTTTTGCTTTCAGGAGCCCCACCACCAGCAATTATTTACTGTTTTATTGTATGTCAGCTATTCTTGTAGGATTTTAAGAGGTGCCAAATTTGGGCATACTTTTTGCCTTCAAAGACCTTTCAATTAATTGAGAGAGCAAATATTATATATGTGAAAAGGTAAATGTCTTCGTAAAGTGTCTTTTGAAATGTAATTTTTCATTTATTATGTGGTAAGATTTAAATGCATATTGTTTTTGCTACTTATATCATTTCTAGGTTTTCATTAAGACCTGTTGTGTGGGTTTAACATTTTAAAAATAATTTTAAAATATATTAGTATGTTATCGTGGTGCTCTTAATAAAAGCTCATTTATCAGAAGAATCATTCTAACCTTACTGTGACTGAAAACATGTACTTTTTATTGATAAAATATTTGCCCATCTTTATGGGTGTACAGTACAGTACAGTAATCTGATGCATGCATACCATTTGTCATGATCACATCAAGCTAATAAGTAATTGTCTTCTCAAACGCCATGCATTTCTATGTGTTGGGAATGTTGTATTCTTCTAGCAACTTTGAAATGTATCATGTATAAGGTCTGTCACTTTAAGATCTTTTTTGCCATCGTCTTGCTTTTTTGTTTCCACTTAGAAATTTGCTGACATCTTTTTTTTGTAAGTAACATTTTATATTCTAGCTGCTTTTAAGATTTTTTTTTTTTTCAAATGGTTTTAGACAATTTGTTTAGGCTATACTGAAGTATATTTTTATTTTCTTTTCAAAAACTAGCTGTATTTTTCTGTTTTTCTTGTGCTTGAGATTTGTTGAGCTGCTTGGGTGATTTTTATGAAATATGGAAAGTTTTTATCCATTATATCTTCAAATATTTTTGTTAGTCTTCCAGTAACATGTATATTAGGCTACTAAAATGTGGTCTCACAGCTCATTAATTCTCTTCAGTTTTTAAAAATTCTGTTTTTTTCTGTTATCCTCATGTTTCTGTGCTATCCTTCAAAAGCATTAACTTTTTTTTTTCGAAGTTTTATTGATAAACAGATAGCAATGAGACAGTTTCAAATCAAATCAGAAGTACAGTTTCAACAAATAATACACTGCATATATTCTTCTTAGTGGTTAATTGCTGTACAAGATGCGGACTTGTGATCCTATTTACAAACACCATTAGAACAAATCATTCTATTCATTAAGAGAATGCAACTATATATCTATCCCAACCACTTTGAATACACAGATACAAAATGGACATTCATCGGTATACCCCATGCATTAACTTTTGAAACAACTAATTGGCTTCTAATTCCATTCACATTGTTTTGTATGTCAGGCATTGTAATAGTCTAGAAGTTTTTTTTTTTTTTTTTTTTTGGTGGTACTGGGGATTGAACCTTGGGCCTTCATACTAAACTATATCTTCAGCCCTTTTTAAAATGTTTTGAGATAGGAAATAAGTTGTCTGGCTGAGTTCAATCTTGGGAGCCTCCTTGCCTGTTCAGATTTGTGAGCCTCATGTTGTAGATTTTTATTTTTAAATTTGATGGATTTAGTTGAGCTGCTTAGGTGATTTTTTATGAAATATGGAAAGTTTTTATCCATTATATCTTCAAATATTGTTGTCAGTCTTCCAGTAACATGTATATTAGGTTGAGATTAATAAAAGCTCCTTTATCAGAAGGGTTTATTTAGGGTTTGCAGGGTCTCACTACACAGATTGGACTCACAGTGATCCTTCCTGTTTTTCAGCCTCCCAAGCACTGGGATTATAGGCATGCACCACCATGCCCGGTCTCAATCTCAGTGCACCCTGGGGGGCGGGGCTGGCATGGCAGGCCTGGGGATGAAATCCACAGCCCCTGCGTCTGCCTAAGCAGGCACTTGAGTCCACTGAGCTATCTGGCTGGCTCTCCTATTCTAGATTTCTGGGAATACAAGCTTGTGTCACTATCCCTGTTTATACTTAACTTTTAAAACATGTAATTCATTCGTAATAACTATTTTAATGTGTTTTTCTGCTAATTGTAACGTCCATGTTGGAATGAGTGGTGGATTAGTTTTGTGTCATTATTTTCTTATTTTTTGGTGGAACCGGGGATTGAACTCAGGCCCTTGTGCTTGCCAGGGAAGTGCTTATTCCACTGAGCCATCTCCCCAGCTCCAAAGCAGAAGGGTTTTTTTTGCTCCGAATGCCTTCAGGGCAGGTTTGGCTGGCTTGAGTTGTGGGGATCGAACACAGCAACCTGAGCCTGAGCCTGACTGCTTTGTTGAAGCAGTCACTTAAAGAACTGAGCTAAGGGGCAGGCCCCCATCATTATTTTCTTTATCCTGATAGGAGCAGTGTTTTCCTGCCTGTGCATAAATAGTAATCATTAATTGGATGCCAAACATTCTGAATTTTGCCTTTTTGCGTGCCTATAATTTTGTGTTCTATAAATCTTTAGCTTTGTTCTGGGAAGACATAAGCTAGTTGGAAATGTATTTTTCCTAATCTCATGTTGTTTCCTTACGTACATTTATTGACATGTGTTCCTCTGAATACTCAAGAGACCTGCAGATCTCCAGGGTTCTCTCTGTGTTGCACTTTGCAACCAGTACTCTGTCTTCTCTGCCTTGGTTTGCTGGACTCTTTTTCTGGGCACTTTATTGGATTACACATAGGCTTCTTTTCTGCAGGGCTCTATAGCCTGGAAAAACCCTCTCAGCAATGTGCTGGGGCAAGGGTTACCACTTCTGTTACCAGTGTTTGAGGGATCACTCTTCGTCTTTGACTAGTGTCTGGTGAAGTAAAAATCTTTGCTTGATATATTTTTGTCTACCGTTTTACTCTCTTTTCTTCCTTTCTTCACTTCCTCCCTTTTTTCCTTTTATCCTCCCTTATTTCTTCCTCCTTCCCTACCCCTACCCTTCTGTCCTCCCTCTCTTGTTCCCCTCCCACTCCCCTTCTCTCTCTCCTTCAAGGATAAATCTTTTTTTCTTTTGTCTGCAAGTATATTTTAAGTGAATACGTAACTACACTGAGGGGCCATAAAAGAACTAATCCAGGTCACCTTTGAGCACAGTTTTGGACTGCTCTCAGTCTTGGGTAGCATTGGCAGGAGAAAGAAAAAACTTCAGACAAATCTTGAGTTCTTTTGTTATGATTATTTTCAAAGTGGATGTGCAACTACTTCTGAAATTCTTCTAGATATGTTAGAGAATTGAATAATTGAGTAAATATCTTGATATCCTTGGGAGCCAAGACTCTAACCATAACAGAAGAGAAATGCAAATATGAAGTGGCAGAAGGAGAGAAAATCTTGTGGGGATGTTTGTGAATGGTAGGTTGTACCAGTTATGGTTCACCAGAGGAACAGATTTAATGTTTATATATATATATGATATATATACACACACACACACACACATACACACATATATGGAATAGATAAAGGATTTATAAGTTTAACTTAAAATAGCCACCTGTTGAGTGAGTTGTGGAGGCACGCATGCTACAAAGCTGAAGGATTCTGTAAAGGGTCAAATGCTTGGAGCTCACTGCAGAGTCCTATGTAAGTCCCTGTCAAGAAACCAGAATATCTGTACTGGAAGGCTAAAGAGTACTGGAGGCCGGGAGGTGGATGTTAAAAGGTGCTGAAGACTGGAGCTCTTCTGAGGAAACAAGGCAGACTTCTTTCTTCCTTTCTTTTTTATTCCATCCAGGCTACAAGCCTGTTGGTGCCACCCACACCCAAGACCCAGACCTGGGTGGGTGGTGCTTCCTTTCTTTGTAAGTCAGTCATGCACTCTGAGAACTATGCTGAACCAGTCCCACAGGTGTTCTTATTCAAGTTGACACCACAGTTAATTATCACATATGTATGGGTGTATATCTATGTTATCTGCAGAGGGTATGTGTGATGTAAATACATATGTGTACATGTAATATATATGTATATGTTCTTGCATATATTTCCCTTTGTCTACTGAAAACTGTAAGCAAAGACACTTCAGTAACAATGAGCATACATTCTGTATGCCCAGATAATTTATTCTAATGTCTTTCTCAACTAAAAGAACCAGGGCTCCTGGAGAAATGGTTAGTTTTAGGGCTTGGGGAAGAGAAAATCTAAATCAAGAGTATTAGAGAAAGATAATTGCCCCCCCCCCAAAAAAAAAGAAGAAGAAAAAAGAAGAGTAGGATGACGTAGAAGCAAGCGTGAAGGAACTTACATTGGCCAAATCTGGAAGTTTACTGACTCAATTAATTATGGTAATGAACTATAAATTATTTTACAAATAAGAACCCATAATTCCTTACTAATTATAAATCAATTTATAAAGGGAAGGGGATG